AACATGCTGACAACACTTAGCTACGTGCGAAAGCATGCTATCAATGCAATGAAACAGGAAGTTGATGTAACTCAGGCATGCAGTGTCCAATCTGCATCAAACTTAACATGCGACATGCTACAGACATGCTAAAGCACGCTAGCAACACTTAGCTAATTTACTTAAACATGCTACAATGAAAGAGGAAGTTGCTGTAACTCAGGCAATCAATGTCCAATATACATCAAACTTAACATGTTTGATAAGAGACGGCTGAACACATCTACATGCCCGTATTCGGTTATAGTCATAGTGCCACCTGCTGACAACAGGAAGTGACATGTTTAACACAGTTATGGACTCCAAGCAACATATTAAAAAAGTGTCAGCAAGAGTTAAATTGGCATGCCGACATGCTAGAAACATGATAAAACATACTAGCAACAATTTACTAAAGCTTGCTATTAATACAATGAAAAAGGAAGTTGCTGTAACTCAGGCATGCAGTGTCCAATCTGCCTCAAACTTAACATTTTTAATAAGAGTCCTGGCCTGAACACATCTACATGATCATATTCGATCATAGTTATAGCGCCACCTACTGGCAACATGAAGTGTCATTTAATAATGTGATGCACTATTAACAACACAGTAAAATATGACATTGTGTGCTAAACATGCTAGCAACACTTACGAAGTGCTAAATCAAGCTATTACATCTGACCCAAGATCACAGCAACATTAGACCTAACTAAACTAACTATAAAAAAAACACTGACATATTTTTGGAAACATATATTATTTTGTGGTAGACAAAAACAAAGAAAGCCATGTATGATCGGAATGCATTTTTTTAACCATATATGAGTTTCTACATCATAACTGCAGTTAGTAAAGTAGGTTTGTTATGCAGGAATACTTGCAATAACTGCAATATAAAGTGCAAGTTAAATGTGCCTATGCGAAAACCCTGTAACAGCCTTATTAGGTATCATTTAAATGCATACGCTGGTTGTTAGCGATAACTGATATAAGGGAAGATCAGTGTGAATTGTTTGGCCTGTGGTGAGGATTTGAAGAAGACATTAACTGCATTAATTAAAGGCTGGGAGCTGGGAGGCCTGCGTGTCTCATGTGGTACAGTATGTGTGTGTGTGTGTGTGTCTACATGTGAATGTGCTAACCAGTTTGCAAAAGGAGACTAGAGGGACAATTAAGATGAGAGAAATGCAATTTCAACAGGATTTTATGTTCTTTATATGTGCTGGCTCGTGAAAACGAGCTTTTGCACTAGACTGGCACGCTCTCGACACAGGTTAAGTCAAAGAAGAAAAAAAAACGGTTTTGGCCTAATTCTAGCAAAGAATTCCATAATTCCAAAGTCAATTCCATTATGGGCTACAATGAGTGAATAAACATAATCCAAAAATGGCATATAGAGTCAAGAGAAACAATGATTAAAAATATGCTTGTATTCATTCACATGTGCTGCATATTTTGCGTATTTAGATCATTTCCATTCGCTGGACTCCATGTTGATTAGGACGCAGCCGTCGACAGTAGAGGTTCAGCTCACGAGGAACAGAGCTAGTCTCATCCTCCGACTTGAAAGAGATTTTCAAATTGGATTTACATACAAAAAGAATCAGCGCATGAAAAGAAAGGAAAATAAGAAAAAGGAATAGAAAAAAAACAAAGGTCGTCGTAACTAAAGCCTGGGGACTCGCGTCCAATGCTAAAAACCTCAGCAACTTCAGTCGCCCAGAAAGTGTTTCTGATGTTACTCTTTGAGAAAGATATGAAGAGAGGATCCAGTCAATGACGGAGCCAGAGCTCAGTGATAGTTCAAGAGATAGAGATTATACGCCGGGAAAAAGAGCTTCAGTACAGAGAAAACTGCCATTGAAACAATATGTGAGGGTGCATGTTGAAGGCAAGTATGAATCGACTGATAGTTCATTGAAGAGCTCTTTATGTATTTGCCATGCGTCACACAAATCTTATTATTGTAAGTAAAGCCGTAAGTCTCACTTATTCCATATGTGTGCTATTTTAGTTTGATAAGAATATGAAGAGAATCTTCGAAGCCATTGGATTTTTTGTGGATTTTAGTCCATGTGTGACCCGCTTTGAGATCTATATGCTAGAGGATTTATAAAAATTGGCAAAATCAACTTTATAGTAGCACTATAGGTAATTTTCTGTCTATCAAATGTAAATGTGGGAATAGCATTGAGCTTGGGACCAAATATTGATTCTGGAGAAATTATATTCTCGTATATTACACTGTAAAGCCTACTGCCTCACTACTGTATTGTAGTTTTTGGGGAATGATTATTTGTTCATTTCTCAATCATCATAATTTTGCATTGCATTATATGTTTTATCATATGTTATTTATATGATTTACCCCCCCCCCATCAAATTGTTTTATATTTTTACTATATCATACTACAGGAGCTGTAAAAGCCTGATCTATCAAATATGACTCACATGCCAGTGTTTTAGATTATGTCTAAAGTGCCTGTTCCACACACACATAAGGTATCCAATATTTCCAGGTCTTAATGATATTTCTAGGTATTATATTAAAAAATAATACCAAACAATATTGTTTGATCATTATAAAATAGCTGAATAGCTATTAAGACTGAATATTCTGAACTCATCAGAATATATATAACGAGTCACTGACATTTTATGATGTCTTATTTTACAAACAGTTATTAATTAAAATAGGTATTACGCAACTGAACAGACTATGACCAAGTTGTGATAGTGATTAGTGATTTTAATTGCTGGATATGATCACAGTCAAAATCATGTTTGTGTGGGTCTGTCTGTGTTTGGGGGCGATTCAGACAATTAATGTGCTTAAAATGACCTACTTTTCATGCTATGCTAATTTTATGTTACATAATGGTTTATCTAAAATATTTAATAGTTCTCACTCAAAATAATACAGAACTTGATCCTCTATTGCTTTAATCATGGAAAGGGTTGCTCATACTGTTAATCATACAACCACAAAGAACTTCTTTAAGTGTATGACTTTGAAAAATAAATGTGAAAAAAAAATACACTGTGTACCTTTAACATCAGACAACTACTGTTATGCACTGCTACTGGACAAGGACTGAATGTGTGGATTTTCAATTTGCTGAAGCTCGCTTTAATACTGGACTGCTCCAACACAACTTGTGTGACCTTTCCAGAGTAATGGAATTACACTGAACAACAGCAACGAGAGAGTGAAAAGGTTGTAAGAATCCACACGGCCCGGGGCAAGCGCTTCAGACCTCAGCTGGAAAACCAAACAGAAAGACTGAAAGAGAGCAGAGATCCATCACTGAGAGCTCATGCTGGGATCGGCCTGATGGTGGCGCTCACACAGGAGCCTAACTTTACACGATCAAGAATTTAGAAATGTCCCATAGAGGTGCCACACTGAATATGAAATTAATTTCCTGTGCTTTTAACATCACAATTAATTTGTCACTAGAGGTTTTGGACTGTGCACATGTTTGTGATGTCATCAGCCAGTCATCATAGTCATTAAGTCATTTTGGCTTAAAATGTTGACTTTATGACTCTTTATGATTATTGGCTCAAAAAAGTTCTGCGGTCCATGAGCAAAGATTTCAAACTATCACTAGCAGGCTCCTGCACCAACCAAGCAACTGCCATTGAATTAAATGGAAATGTAAAGGATAGCTCTCTCTTATAGACCAATTAGTTCCTCTGTAAATCATAAACTGGATGTGCAAAAGGAATACTATACGTAATTCCTCAAGAAAATGCTGTGTGGTGATGTTGAAAGTGAATTCTGCTATTAGTGATACATAACAAAAATGTAGAATAACAAAGCAGAGACACACTGTCACTGCATTTAAGTACATTTAAATGTTAACATACATATTCCTGCTGACTTCATTATATTTTGAAAGGAAAATTAATACTCTGATATATTTTCCTAGACATTTATGTTACTTTTGTGACTGCAAACCGCAGAAGATAGTACAGCTGTACTGATGATAGTTGTGATCTTTATCATAACGATATATATATATATATATAGTTATGATATATATATATATATATATATATATATATATATATATATATATATATATATAGCAATTCTGTGTTGAATAAAAATGACATAAAATAATATTTTTAGCATTTTTAAATAGCCAAAAAAGCCAAAATATGCCTACAGGCAATTCAAGGTGTATTGCCCTAAAAAAGCAAATATTTCATAGCAAATGTAACTTTTCTAAAGAGTGTTTAGATATTTTATTAAAATAAGAGTGTATTTTAGCAATCTTGGGTTTAGCTTTGGTAATGATCTACACATCAAAAAAAAAAAAAAAAAAAAAAAAAAAAAAAAAAAAAA